CTAAGTAAATGTCTCGATAGTGAATTATTTTTTCGCATATCGAAACCAATTTTGGTATTGATACCCAAGAAGATATCGGTACCCTAGTAGAGAAGTAGTGATACTCCATATAAGGGTATGGTACTATGTCTTCCTCAAATTATAGTAGATAGTTTTGGTATAGGTACCAATGGTGGGTATCAATACTGAAGGGTCAGGATCGACACTAAAGAGCTTTGTATTAGTACCATCGTACAATTTTGGGAAAGAAGCCTGACATTTAGAGAAAGGCTCGAGAAGGGGTATAGGTCTGTCAATACATCTTTAATAAGCTTACAAGTGAGAATAACTAAAAATTACAATAAAAACATAAGAAAACATATGAACTAAGATGCCATAAAACTAGCCTTTGTGTAATGCTTAGGAAACAACAAGGACACCGAGTTACTCTAGCAAGTTTGACAATCATCTTATTTTATTAGAAATATCTGAATATATCTCAGTTAGTGCCAAGACACTTTAGTTCCTTGCTAGGTGTAGATGCCCCAAGTAGTCTCATGGAGTAAGCTGGTTGTGTGTATATCTCAAATCCATTTCCAGATCTTAGCCTAGATTCCCATGTATATCATAGGTAGGTTAGAGAGGTGTACATTCTGAGTTACCATGATGCCTACCTCAACTTTATATGTTAAAGTCCTTGCATGTTTATGCCTTTGCTTGCTAGTATGCTCATATAGTGAATACACGTAGTGTAGTACAATTATTAGTGTGGCACTGAGCTTGTGAGCTCAGTGTTTAGAATATGTTTCCGTCCGTAGGTTCTTAGGAGATCTCTCGAGGAGCTTATTCAACGTTTAGTGATTTTAGATATACTTGAGTCTTTATAAAGGGCATGTACTATTCATAGACCTTATTGTATTTGAGTTATAACTCTATTTTGATACATATACTATGATGTTATTTACAATGTATCGGGAGCTCCTTGCTTTGCAAAACTTATTATACACTTAATTTACCCTTATTTTGGAGATGATATATTTTAAGCGTGATTTAAATATTTCTTTTAAAAGAAAATTTGAGTCATCCTCTTCAATGGTCACATCTAATGCTTTAATCCATCGACTTATGGGTCAGATAAGATTAAGGTGTTACAGGCTTAACCATTTTATAATTTTTTTATATTAAGCAAATTTTAATATGATTGAATAACTATAAGATTATACTTGTATTTGAAGGCAATTAATCACACCATATTTTTTTTACTTTAATGTTCCTTTATGATAAATTAAGAAAAAAACTTCAGTCCCTTCTTTCGAGAAGAGTAAACCAATCGTTTCCACTTTGATATTTGTGTATATGAATATTGAAGAGTTATATTAACTTCAGAGGGTAACATCCTTTTTAAAGATTATATCGATCACGATATATTTATTTCTAAGGCAGTGGTTCTTCCGAATCACATCTATGGTTTGATCTATTTTTCTGTTTAATTTATTTTACCAATCAATTCTTATATTTTATTTTTGCAACAACCTTGTTTTCCAATATGGACATCTTTAATATCCTCAATTATACCTATTTAATCAGCATAAACTAGAATTTCGAACATTTTCGTTTATTTTTCTTGGATTTTGGGCCCAAAAATTTTACCACTGATCCATAATACTTTGTTTGTTTTTTTATTGTAATAATAGTTATAAATCTAATTTTTTGGGGCTCTTGCTATTCCAGGGCCTTGTTCCGTCGTGCATGTTGATCATGCCTAACCTCGCCTCTGGTTACAAGTTCAAATAATGATGGAACTAGATTTCATTCTTTAGTTATTTTTTATGTTGATTTCGTCACCACAAGTTCTTTAAGGATCTTAGCCTTTAGTGCATGTCGAGGGTGCTACTAGTTCAACTCATATTGTTTGTTAAGAAGTGCTTCATGATGCTTCTAATAATGATTTGATTCAAGCTAATGCATCACATTCTGAAAAATACACATGATAACAAGGAGAAAAGCCAGGATTTATCAGCCAATATACTACACTTCTGCTTTTTTGGGTAAATTATAAAATGATCATTAAATTTCGACTATGTTTTTGTTTTTCCCACTTAGGTTTCAAAACTAACAAATCAATTACTAACGTTATTGATTTGTAACAAATCACTACTAACATTATTAATTTATAACACATAGGTCACTTAATATTACCAAACATTAAAATAAGTGACGAAAAGCTTATATGGCACCTTAATTGCTGACCTGTCACTGTTTTAACCACAAAGCACCTTCTTTGAATGGTCTTTCTAATCTCTACACTTTGTACATGAGAAAATCAAAAGTGCTATAAAACTGCGTCGAAAATGTTCATCAAGGTCGGCTTCAATGTTCCTTCCACCCACCATTTCCATTTCCCACTACCTTCCTTCCTCCCCTTCAGTCTCACATTTTTAAATAAATATAGCCTAATCCATCAAAACAGATCAGGTTTGTTGCATGTAGATGGGTAGGGGTGTATTCGGTTCGGTTCGGTTCGGTTTTTTTACCAAAAATTGAACCGAACCGAAATAAACGGGTTTTCAATATTTAAACCGAAACCGAATAGTTAAAAAACCGAAAAAATCGAAACTGATTTTTTCGGTTCGGTTTGGTTTTTTTAACGGTTTGGGTTTTTCGGTTCGGTTCGGTTCGGTTTATCGGTTTTTCAATAAAAAAATCACTTGAAACTATAATTTTTTTTACAAAAATTTCCTATTCGGTTCAATATGGAATAAATGGGTTCCATATGAAAACCGAACCGAACCGAATCAAAAATAAAGCCTTTAAACCGAACCGAAAACCGAACCGTTTAAAGTCAAACCGAACCGAACCGAACCGTTTTACTCGGTTCGTGTCGGTTTTTCGGTTTTCTCGGTTTCGTTGCTCAGCCCTATAGATGGGGACCGTGGAACACCCATTAATCAATTGATATAAATATTCCATTTTGGCAATGGAGATCAACCAATCTTCAATCTTACATTGTTTATAAAAATGATTCAAATTCATAGTTTTAAGAAAAATAAAGTTTATAAAGACTTGATTATATCAAACCAACAACAATATGAACAAACAAATGGTGAATAAAGAAACAAATCCTAATTATTTTATAACATGAAATTAAAAGAAAAAAACAGTGTGAATCTAAAAGGAGGAGCTACATAGCCCAGGAAATGCCTTCCATAAGAAGATAATTTAGGGTCACAATAATCCTCATGGAATGTATCTTTGAGCTTGTGATATTTGTGCTTGAAAACCCTGAAATCAAACAACTCTATCGCCACTACCAATAGAATCAAGCGGCGCAAAGCATGCATATTTTTCCACAATAAAAAAATTAGCTGACCCTTATTCCCATATGTAATGGGATAAGGGGAGGTAGGATAGTAGACTGACCCAACGTCAGGTTGAAAGCAGCTTCAGACCTCCGAATTATGAAATGTCCTCCATAAGACTCGATCCCAAGACATCTTTAATCTAAACAAATAGTAAATAAAGATGAATTATGGGGATTCTAGTGATCTTGGGATGTTTATAAAGATGAAGGAAGAGATTTATAGTGTGTATTTTGTATATGGAAGAGAGAAAACGTGAGATAGAGAGGAGGAAGACAAGTGAAAGCTTGAAAATACTTGGACGTATTGAGATAGAGAGGAGCATAGTAAAAATTGAAGAGAGAGACAGTCAAGGAAGGTGTTTTGTGGTTAAAATAGTGACAAGTTAGTAGTTAACAGACTATATAAATTTTCCGTCACTCATTGTAACAATTATTAACATTAAGTGTCCAATTTATTATAAATTAATAACATTAGTGACTAATTTATTAATTTTAAATTTTAGTGGAAAAACTAAAACTTAATCAAACATTAATGATTATTTGTATATGTGCAATTTACCTTTTTTTTTTAATAAAACTATGCGATGTCTTTAATGCTTCATAATCAAAATGTTAGGTTGAAGTTGTGTTAACGAGTATAATGCAATAATGGAAAACATGGTTGAGCGGGACAAGTGAGATAGTCGTCCTTTTCTTTTTAAAATTTATAAATTAGTATATATATTTTTTTATTTTTTAATAAAAAATATATTTTCACTCTTAAAATTTTAAAAATTTTCCCCATAAAATTTGATAGAGAAAGTACATACAATAAATCATTTTTCAGTAGTCAGTCATTGATGGACTATTCGACAAGTAGATTTCAATAATTATTTTCTCAAAGGTGATATTTTGGAGGTGATTTACATGTGTGAACCATTCGGGTATGAATAATGTGATATAATGATTTTTTTTTTGTTAATCTGAAATAAATATAAAACAATGTCTGTGCGAAATAATTCTCAAACACTTAAAATTGAAGACTCACAATTGATTTCATAATGTTAAAACTCAATACCTCAAACAATAACAATAATTTATTTACCATCAATATTACTTAGTTCACACTCTAAGGTATTAATTTCACAAGAATTTTATTACCTTTGGGTACTCATTCGTTGCATTTGACGACTAAGAAATTTATATTTTTAAAAAATCATTTTAATATTTTATGATAATAAATGTTAAATACATTATTTAATTAGATTTATACTCATCATACAAATAATACTTCGTAAAACTAAATAATCAAAACAAGATATCATTCTTTCTTAAAACCACTCCATAAATTGAAACTAATAGTTGAAGTATGCTTCTTGAGGCTTGGCCCTAACTAGCAACGAGTTAAAAGCCCATGGGTTGGGGCTAACCGGAAACAACAGGAACCCTAATTGTGGATGGCTAATTACCTCGCCGCCTAAAACATAGAGAAATTCTGTATCAAAATCAGTGCACCTCATCAACGAATCTGATGAAATCCAATTTACTCAACTAATCTCAATTCATAATTAACCCAATATCTGAATAAATATAGTCTCTACTGCTAGGATTTTTCATTTACAACAAAAAATGATCGAAATTGATAATTGTAAAACATAGATTTAATTTTGATGAACAAAGAGGATGTAGTTCCCCGACGTCCAAATGCCCCATCAAATTGAAGCAGTGGATAGCGAGGGGAACATTTCTGTTCAGGCTTCTTTCCATCACAAAAAAATCACATTAATTTGGTTCAAATTTTTGGATCTAAAAATTATAAAGAAGCCACCAAACAAATCAAATGTTATAAAAAAAAGAATGAGGGAGTGATTAATGGCGAATGAACTCAGTCCCTTAGATGTTAAAAAATCTGCGATCATTCTCGCAATTCATTACAGGTCTGTTATATCTCATCACCGTTCTTCAGCCATGGAATCAACCCCCAAAATATCGGACTTGTTTTTAAATAAAAGAAAATATATAGCTGCCCAAGCGTACTCCCAAAAAACTGCAAATAAAAAAGATTAGAAGGGAGAGATAAAGACGAAGGCAACACAATGAATATCGCTTCAAGGGAACGAGTCATATGGGAACAGATTGAATCCACACTGACCAGATAGCGAAGCTTCTATCTTGCCGGACAACAAATTAAATACCAAACTGAAATAAATGTATTTACAAGAGGAGCGGTGGAGGATGCACGTTTTATAGATTGACAGATTGAAACAACTACTAAGAGTACATATATACATATTTGAGGGTGTAAAGTTGAAACCCTAATTGTGAAATGTAATTACGAAAGTACCCTCCATTTTTTGTGATTTATTATTGGGTTAAATTAACAACTTCTGTTTTGGGCCAATATGGGGGTATGTTTCCAAGTACATGAATTCGACTTTACGGAGGAAGTCGTCTAATTTAAAATTATGAAATCGTAAAAAATAAATATAACTAACGGGAATTAACAGAAGTTAAGTGTCACGTCAGTAAAAAATAACGGGAGGTAATGACAGGAATCTTACTGAAAACGAACTAAAAATTGAATAACTGTTTTGCAAGTTTCAAATGTTGGGTGACCAAAATTCAAGCTCCCTAAAAGTTTGAGAACTATTTTTATAATTTACCCTTTACTTAATACCTCAAAATGTTTGAAAATTAAAATTTTCCTCGTAAAGGCTTTTTTTCTCTCTCGCTTATATAATACGTTTATATTTACTTACAAATTAAATTAAAGCGTCCCCTCAAAATATAAATTTGATTTAAACGATCATACAAATAAATAGGAAGATTTAAATTTAATTTTTTTTTGGATAAATATTAAAATTACACATAAACTCTAGTTAAGTTTTCAAAACCTAACACATGAATTGTTATTTTGTAAAATTGTAAAAATAAAGTTTTGGTTTTATTCAATTTTCTCAAATTACTAAAACTATTACCAATATAATATTATTTGACACTTAAATATTGTATAAATAAATAAATATATTTATATATAAAAATAAATTGATGTATTTAATATTTTTAAGGCTTAATGAAAAATCAGCCTTCAAACTATGCTACTTTTTTGTTTTAAGTATGCCAACTAATTTTCAGTCAATCCAAACACCTAAACTATTTTTCTGTTATTATTTTAAACCTTTCCGTTAGTCCCCTTAAAAAAATATTGTTTTAGCCAATGATATATTGACACGTCATATCTAATAACTTAATCAAAATACTCATTTTAAATTAAAAAAACAATTAAAATGTAATTAAAATAATATAAACTAAAAACAATCGCGCTCTACTTCATTCGGAAAAAAGAAGAAAATAATATTAAACTTCGTTTTACACTCAATTATAGAAGATATATTTTACATTTTTTTAACATAGTTATGACACTGCGGTTGAATTCATTTTACTTGGAAATATGTTGATATTTGTATTTGTTATGGTACCCCACTAGTATTTATTTTAATTGGTATTGGTTCTTAGTTTGATGGGGGCCTGAGTATGAAATTTTAAAATTTTATATCAATGGTTGAATTTAATTTGTTTGGTGTAAATCAATATCTTTCCTTGCATGTATAAATTTGTTCTCACTCTAAATAATTTATTATAACAGTAATACAATAATATAGTTTAAAAGTCATCAACTAGTAAGTTTTATAGAGATTTTGTAAACATTGCACGGTCAATGATCATCTATACAAATAAAATTGATTGAGGCCTGAATCTTTTATTTTTTTTTTATTTTTTTTCTGAAAAAGGGTGTTTTGTATCAAGTACAATACATACTAAACAAAATAGGTACCGCCATGGCCTCGTTAAAAAAACCCCTAACCTAGATGGAGGAAAAAGAGTGTAGTATGGAGTGTGTCGTAATCGTTTTTCGACGGGGACAATCGTTTGATTGTTTTAAAAATAATTACGACTTTTAATTTTAGAAAATAAAGTGATTTGAATTGATTTGGAATAATTTGGATAAAGTCGCCATCAACCTTTGGACTAAGTATATCAAATACCTAAAATAATTTTTAAAACAATTTTAAGAAAAATCATTTTTTAAGACAAAAGCTGGTCTACGTTTACCAAATATTCGATTAAAACGGGTTCGGAGTCGATTACGCTTGGGGAAGAATTATCACCCCTACAACGCCCAAAATTGGTACTGTGTTACTTACACGTTATCGTAATGATGAAAATCCTGAATTAAATATCAAATTAAATTATGATCCATTTATTGAAATTTAATTAATTTGCTTTAAATTAATAACTTAAAGGAGGAAATTTACTCAGATAAGAAATCTAGCAAAAACATGAACTTAAAGGATTAAAATGGTAAAACAGAAATTTAAAATGCTAAAACAACTAAAACATAAATTTAATGGACTGAAACAGTAAAAACCAAAACTCAAGGGTCCAAATAGCAAAAATAGAAACCTAAAGTATTGAAACATCAAAACTAGAAAATTAAAGAACTAAAATGGAATTAACAAAAATTTGAAGGAATGAATTGTAAATATAAATAAACGAAACACAATCGAATAACATGGGTTTAGATGCAACAAATACAACTATTGAGATAAAAAAATAATTAACAAAAACCTATATAAACCATGAACATGTAATTAAATTAAAAAAACATTAACTTTAGGGTCATAAATTACAAACGAAACCTTGAGATATATAAATTTTAAATAACAAACCTCAATAACACAATAAAATCATAAATAATATTTAGGATAAAAATACTATAAGAAACAATGTAACTGAAACAAAACAAATCACCATCCTAAAGGATTAACATTGAAATAAACCCTAAACCCATAAATATGACTAAAAAGGAACATGCAATAATTTAGAGGTTAAATATCTAAAACTGCCGAAATTAAACATAATAATAATTTGGACTAGAATTAAATGCGGGTAAAATAAAGAGAAACAATTATAAACATGCAAACATTGATTTATGGACCAATTTAAAATGCGTATAAAATATGAAGGTCAAGTTAAAACATAAAAAAAACTCGAATTTAGGACCAAAAGGAATTATAAGCAAATCATGGATGATCCAAAGACTAAATAACCCGTTCACAACCGAGCAACCCTAGACCACCTAAACGACACCGTTTCAATGAGCTAATATATAAAATTTTGGGTATCAATTTTGAACCCTATCCCCATTTTACCTCAGCTTACCTCCTCGCAGCCGCTCTCCATAGCGCCGTTCCTCTCAACTCCCCCCTATCTCTTCTTCACGCAGCGCCGTTCTCACCAACCTTCGATGGCTATGAGATTTCTCCGTTCCGACGAAGAAACGAAAGTCTTTGATGAAGAAGAAAGGTAAGATTTCGTAGTTTATTTCCCCTGGAAATTGCTTAGTTCTTAAAAAGCTCCTAAAAGCTCTCTTTTTTCTGTATTTCCCCTATCGTGGTTCAACCGAGAGTCACAAGAGCTTAAATATCCACACAGAACAACCACAGTACGCTCCGTCGCCCTCAGTTATCTCACCCTCCGCAATACCTCCAGCGCTCACAGCCTTGGCGATAGCAGCTTCTACGTCCTCAGTCTCGAGGCAGAGCACACATCCGGTCCCCTTAGTTTCAACGGAGCAGAGCTTCCAGAGGCGTCAGAAGCGAGAATGGTGGAGCCAACTATCTCAAGTTGAGCGGAGAGGATGTGAGGGGCCTCCTGCTCGGCCTTGCGCTTAGGGTGCACGGTACGGTCAACCTCAACAGCTCCGAACGCATACTTGTAGAACTGCACTGCATCACCCGCCTTGGGTACCTACACCATCAGCTGAGGTTTCAACACCGTGAAAGTCGCCGCTCCTGCCTTCTCGGCTCCTTCGTTATGGACCTCCTCGGTAAGACCTCTTTATTTTCGTATTTTATTTCAATTTGTTGAGATCGGTTGATAATAGCTGTGTGAAATTTTCTTTTGTTTCAAATGCTTGTTTGGTGTTATTTTAATGAAGTAAAATATAAATTGGAAATGGATTTGTGTTAATAGAAAGACAAAAAAAAAACTGCTTTTCATTCCTTCGACAATGGTGGGGAAGACCTCTTTACGCTGTTAGCTTTTAACCTCTAAAAACGGGAAAATAAGAGTTTCTCATTATTTCTGGGAAAGATTTCCCCTCTCAATTACAATGCTCCCCTCTTTTTTATTTCCTATGAAAAAGACACCCCGTCTTTGAAATAATACGTATTTTATGGTTGATATCTCAACCTAATCTTCATGGATGCATCTAAAATTTCTTTCCGTTTGGTATGAAAATGACAAGTTTAGGTATGATTTATGAATTTGCTTTTGACTTTGGTGTGATTTTGTCTATGGGTTTGGTGCAGGTTTGTCGATAATTGCTTGGTGGCCCGGCGGCTAGAAGGTTGTTGGCTCTGATCGTCGATGGCTCGGGTGACTCGGCTCACAACTGGTTCGAGTTACTGGATCAGGTTCATGGGTCTGGGTTGTAGGTCTGGTTGTACCCGAGTTTGATGATGGATTCGGCTGCTGGGTCCAATATACTTGTACTGAGCCTTGGTAGGCTGTTGAGTTTCTGGATTGTATTTGTTTTGGGCCTGCAAAATAGTGTAATAATACTATTTAATATTAATAATAAATAATAATAATATTTAACCCAGATAAAAATAGGTGTCTACAGATAAAACCAGACCGAGAAAAGGATTCCAACTAGGGGAACTCAATACACCAAGACCTCGAGGAAAACAACAGACCTGCACAAGGAGATCAAAAACACTACACTTAGACATGGACTAGAAATCCAGCTCCTAAAACTCTTTA